ACTTCAGTGCACAGTGAACCAGTAACACCTAGCTCCAGTGCACAGTGAACCAGTAACACCTAACTCCAGTGTACAGTGAACGAGTAAAGCCTAGCTCCAGTGTACAGTGAACCAGTAAACTTAACTTCAGTGCACAGTGAACCAGTAACACCTAGCTCCAGTGCACAGTGAACCAGTAACACCTAGCTCCAGTGCACAGTGAACCAGTAACACCTAGCTCCAGTGCACAGTGAACCAGTAACACCTAGCTCCAGTCCACTGAACCAGTAACACCTAACTCCAATGCACAGTGAACCAGTAACACCTAGCTCCAGTCCAATGAACCAGTAACACCTAACTCCAGTGCACAGTGAACCAGTAACACCTAACTTCAGTGTACAGTGAACCAGTAACACCTAACTCCAGTGCACAGTGAACCAGTAACACCTAGCTCCAGTCCAATGAACCAGTAACACCTAACTCCAGTGCACAGTGAACCAGTCAACAGCCCTGATGAAGACGGCGCAGGCGGTCATCGAAACGTAAGCTTGTGTTAAACAAATGGTTGTGAACGTGTTTGTCACTTTTCAGCCAAATATTACATTTTGAGCATGTCTATTAAAGAAGCTTTTGTCATATTTGATAACAACACTTTCTATCGTCTGATAGCTGGTGGAATAAACATTTTTAAACATGTCTAGTCTGGTCTGATAATTCAAAAATGATACTTAGAGTCATGACCACCTTTTTGTATCTTTTTTTCGGGCTTCTCCCATATCACATACTGTGGTCATTGAGTCTTCCAATTGAAGGCAGTTCGGCAAAAACTTCAGCCAATTCATGGTGCCGAGAGAATATAAAACACTCAGAGAATATCAACGTAAAATATACTTACGGCGCTTTCCAATTCTTTAATGGCCTCCACAATATATTCAGCGTGCTCGGACATGAGAAGCGCATACGCCAGAGAGAGACCCACGCTTCCAGCACCAAGACCTGTTCGGTTGGGAAGCAACAACAAACAGATATTAATAAAAGTATCACGGATTCACAGAGATTGAAATAAGCACAATAAAGAGAAACAATAAACAGTAAATTGTACAGTGAGGTGTTGGGGGTTTAGAAATCACATTGTATATTGTTAGAAAAGGATAACGATAAACTTAGTCTGGCTACAAAACGTATTTTAGCTACGAAGTTTGTTTCTTTCTTCTAGCAAATTGAAGAGGACATGTTTTGTTAACCATAATAAAATACTTACTCTCTGATGAGAATATACACATGAATGTGATAAAGGTGTTGAAGGTGGCGTCCAGGACCTTGACTCTGACCTTATACCAGGCCTTGGTCGCGATGTCGAGGAATTCAGCCTCACTGTGCTGATCGACAATATCTCTGAACCGCCTCTTGAAGTTCTCTTGAGCTGACAGAGCTCTGATCGTCCACAGTCCCTCCATGACTGCCGACACGTGCGTATAGATGGGGCTGGCGTCTGTAGAGGCGGTCAAAGTAACAGGAAATGCTTTTTAAAAAGCTGGCCGGTTGCGAATATAGGAATAGCTGGTTGAGCGGTGTAGGTGTATGTAGTGACGCTGTTTGACTCGAATGATTGGTCTTGAATTTTATTTGAATTGGTCTAATGCTGATATGATTTGACGCTGCTCATAATCGTTATGATAATGACAATTATGGTAGAAACAATTACAAAGTAGTATCAGTTACCCTAACCAATATACGCGGTTATATATATTAGTGGATTAGAATGTTGACAGGCTTACTTGTTGCTTTCAGTCTCGCCAGATGTCGCACAGTCGGCATGTAGTAGGTGTACATGGAAGCGAAGCCGAGAACTAGCAGGCATGTTGGCGGGATTGCCAAGGGATTGCCGATGCAAATCATCACTACAGCTCCAATGGCAGCGAGCAAACCCTATGAATAATATAAAGGGTGTCGCCATTTTTTTTGTCAGAAATAGCTGCAAGTCGTTCTCGATGAGTACTCGATAACTAGGAGAGAAGCTTTGTTGTTCAGCGCCGATGTACGTGTATGATGACCTGCTATCTGAACCTACTTTCGTCTATTTTCTGATCGGAAAAGAAAGCCAAAACGACAAAGAAAAAATGACTGTAGTTATAATAGATTTGAATATTAAGCTTTGTGTATAACGGTACACAATAATAGCAGCTGATATACAATAGACCAACCATATTTCTTCTTCATATCTTGTTTTTTTTTAAATTTACAAATTTAATTTTCTAAATACAATAACTCTGTTTCACTAGGAATGAAGAATGACATTCATTCTAGTTTCTTAACGTTTTATCTTAAATGTTTATGAATTGCTAAGGAAGAGATAAGCTACTGTACTTCCACTGTAGGACCCGAAACACGGCACATAGACGATACGAACCTCGGTGCTGAATAGTAGTTCCTCTGGAATGTTCTCTTCCACCTTATGCAAGTCATCCGCAAACCTGTTTAGAACCCTCCCTGTTACGTGGCATGCAAAAAACAGTTAGGAGAGACCTATAGAAGCTGGGATTTACTTGGAAGGGAACACAAAGACAAGCGCTAACATGAGACAACGATATTGTTGACAGATTAGAAAGGTACTAGGTAACGACGATAATTACAATGTATGGCGATAGCCTGGATAATGAACAATCCAACGTAATCACCAGGCCTCGAAATTAACGTTCCTTCCTTATTAAAAGATAATTTCTTAATTGTCCTAAGTAAGGATGGACTGTCCCAACCTGTTCTTTTTGGAGGGGGGAGGGGGGTATTGAAGTCTGGAGGGGGGAGGGGGGTATTGAAGTCAACTTTATTTTGCTGATTTTCATTCTCATACGCACTATAATTGCAGTGTAGATAAAAAATTCTGGGCGGATTTCCGGATCCAAAAGCCGGGACGTGTGCCTGATAAGCAAAAGAAGGGCTGACATTCTGATGTTGATTATTTCTCTATTGTTACAAAATGTCCCAAGTAGTGTCTTTTAATTGTCCCAGCGTAAATTTAAGTGGTCAGTGGCCATTGGACCACCTTTAATTTCGAGCCCTGCATCACGCTTACGGAAATTCAGCGCAGTGGATCATTCATCTGACTAAGGTTGACGAGTTCTCCTTTCGTAACAAAGTCCGAACTCTACATTTAAAACAAACTTTAGGTATAAGTATAAGGTATAAGGTTTATGTGGGGTCGTGTGGCGTAGCGGCAGAGTGCGCGACTCGGAACTTTGAGTCCCGAGTTCGAGTCCTGACATGCCACCGATCTTGTGCCCTTGGGAAAGGCACTTTAAACGGCTTTCCTCACTTAGCTCAGGTGTAAATGAGTATTGTCCTGTCATGTATTTGTCCCCTGTGTTGGTGGCGGCATTAATATAAGTTGAAAAAACTTGAGTGTGTCGTCACCACGTCTGGTTATTACATGTTGGAATTAAAAAAAAAAAATAAGTCAAACTTACCACCGGGGTTCTTGTCGAAAAAGCCGATGGGTGCCCGCATAACGGCGTTGAACATCATGTTGTGAAGATTGACTGATGCTCGGTAGGTGGCGTAAATGATCAGTACCGTAGACATGATGGATAGAAGGACCGTTAGACTCTCAAGGCCGGCGTACACCTTCAAGTGATAGAGCGAGATGGCCCCGGGGACTGGCCGGGGTTGTCCGCTCGGGAGGGTTTTGTTCAAGTGAGCGATACTGTCCACCCTGTGGAAGGAATAGACAATGTTTATTGTTTAGTTTATTAGTTTGAAAATCGTCCACCGGAAGGGTTAACATCATTTGCCGAAGGTATGATGTCGTGTTTTTTTCTTCTTTTCTTTCCGTTTTTATACGGGTATATGGTCTAGTTAGAATCTACTAGTGTATTATGTACCTGGTACCACGAGAGGTAGAATGTGCAGGCATTTTACTTTGGATGACCTGTTAAGACATTAGGCCGAAATTATACATATTATTTGATAACCATTATGTCTTACTAAATCAAACTCAGGCAGACATGTAACAGACGATTGAAACAAAAATAGTTGAATTTACTTACCAATGAGCTACCCACCAATGTTCGAACAGATAAGACACCTGAAACAACATTGGAAAATTGCACTTTATACTTTTGATTTTTGACCTAACATTATAAGCGTAAGATTTTGTATCCTCTCTGCATATTCCTGGCAGAATATATGATATATTTCTCACGATAAGAAATATATGTGTGCGGACAGTCTGTGTCACACAATATCTTTCTGTCAGGGGATAATTGGGCCTCAACCACTAGAGCTTGTGGCCATCTAATTCTGTGAGAGAACTACTGCCGGTATAAGTACCAATATAAGCTCCTTAATCGCTATAGAAATTAGTTCAATAAGTACTCAAGATTCTCTATCACAGTGCATACCGGAGAATAACTGATCCATGTCAGCATACATGTATACATTGCCAGGGTTAAAAGATACGCATTTATTCTCTATTATCCTGACTTAGGGGCATGACCAGTAGAACAGCTGCTAGAAGCTTGATGTAGTCCGGAAGCTGTCGGACTCTCTAGGTGACGCTTATTTCCGTCTGAACGGCCGATGTCATTTGTAACGGTCGCTGTGATGTCACTAAACTACACACTTCAAATATGTTAGAACGTCACTGTCCACACTGTGATGTCTCCTGGTGATGATTAGGTATTTAGGATAATACTTTTTGAGCCGGTGTTAAATCCGACTACGTACTTTTCTATTATTAGTAACATATTTGTCGCGATGCCGTTGTACATTTGCAATCGAAATGTAATCTTAAATGTTTTGAATGATTTTGCCCCTCAAAAGAGTTATATTACGCTGGGATATGGCATCGAACAGTCAGCCATATAACAACGACCGTTTCAAATTACAACGACTGTTCATTAGATGAAAACGCGCCTGGGCGACCCTTACATCTGAACCATCTGTCCCTGACTTGTTCATGTACATGTATAATATATATATGTATCATCATAGATTATCATAGATTTAGTTATTTTGTAGAAATTTTTAATTACATAAACATATTTTATGTTATTGTGATGTTTTGTCTTGCCAGTTTAAACCCTTTACGATTACAACAGGCTATTTGAGCTGCCCTGGCTGTATGTCTCAAACAGCTGAATACGTAAGCAAATAAACAGTCAGGCCAGTTATAGTGGGTGGGAAAATTTGCATGTACTATACAAACTACACAGAATTTCCCTTTTTAACTTAGTTTCTCTTCCACAACATTAAACAGTGTGTATGAAGTGGAACATCTTACCTCAAAAGCAATGATAACAAACACCATCATAAACAGGTACCAGCGTGGAGGTCCTGATGTCAGATATTTGACGTACACCCGCCAACTCACGCTTCCTTCGACTCTCTCTTCCTCCACAAAGTCGGTATACTGTGAACGATTCAAAATGAAAAAAAAAATAATTCAAATAGCTGAAACTCATTGAATTCAAGTTGCTGAAATCATTGCCAAATTTAAAGTAAAAATTCCTCAAATTGAGAGAAAAGTTTGCTGCATTCTGTAGTGGACCGACTCCCCTGGCCTGTTATCTCTCTATTTGGCCAAGTTTCAATGACAATGTTTCCAGCTTCTTCTCTTAGCCTGGTAGAGGCTAGCCTAACGTACCAACTGCGCTGCTGGGTCAAACAAAATTAAAGTTCACAAAGCCTTCCGATAGCTGCCAGGACCAAAAATTAATAAATAATTAAAAGAGGTCGGAGATCTTATTCCTCCATGGATGTGACGAATTTATCTAAATTTTTTGGGGGATTTATATCATTGATTATGGAAATAGGATCGTTATTAACATTACAAGTTTAACTTATGGTTTTCTAAACTTAGATTACAATATTTTGCGTGTGAAATTCCTATCTTTTGAGACATTTCATTTAAGCATGTCCTCATTAATTATGCAAATGACCTATATATCAACATAATATATGCAGAGTGATGTTAGCCTTCAAGTAACTTGTAACTTGAATTGTCTTACCTCTTCTTCCGAAAGCGTGTCTTCTGCTACACTGGTCCTGCTGCCGTAAAAGCTCTCTGTCAATCCTTTCTTATCCTCTGTGGTCCCTGAATGGTCGCCTTCTCCTGCTAAGAGTTCCGCGAAGTCAGCTCCAGACGCCACGACTTCTACGTGAGATCCAAAAGCAACCTGGTTGCCCTGAAAAAAAACGACGATGAGAGTACCATAAAAGGTAACAAAAGGCTTTTTGTCTGTCAATGTTTCGTTAGTAGCAATAGAGCCGAGCCTCTACTTTGACATAATGTTCAATGAACCTAAATATCGAACCTTAATCAACCTACACGATCTTGATTTTAAGAAAATTGTGTTTACCTTATCAAGAACCAGAATCTTGTCAGCTTTGTTTAGAAACTGGAGCTGATGTGTCACCAAAATCCGGACTTTACTTCCCAGAGCTCCCAGTATGCACCTGGTGCGATGATAGATCGTAATTACAGTTAGTTGCAAACTAATACCAGAAGGAAAATTGCAATTAATATGATAAACATGTGAATCATATTTTGTCTGTCATCCGTAAATAATATCATCAGGTCGGTAAATGATTGAATAGTAAACTTCCTTTATTCGTAACCATTTACTGATTAGAAAAGGACCACAAGCTGGACCATGAGCCGACATTTCGATGACCGCCTGTTATCTTCGTCAGAAATGTGCCATGTTGATTTGACTACATGGATGACATCCGCGCACGCATGAATTTTCGGCCGTTTCCAAAAAAAAAAGTTTTCAACCATACTGTAAATCGTACTAAACAGTTGTCAAGTGAGCAAATCTACACCGTAAGTTGCAAAAATAGATATTTGAAAATAATACCAATGTCGTAGAATGTCAAAATCAAACGAAAAAGACGAAAATGTAAAGAAAAAATTGAAGAGTAGATTATTCGCCATACCATGTGTCATTTGTTCAACCTTCATGACCGCGTAGATTTCATAAAGATGACAACTTTTTTTGCGAAACGTTTTTTATTCGCTCGCTTGCATCTGTTTTGGGTTGGTTGTGAATAAAAGAACCAAACTACTCATATTTTGTCTGACCATTAACTCTTCCCAGCCCAATTTAAGCTTCTCGTGAAGAAAGAATGATTTAAAAGAGGAACAAACAATAAAGAACAAAATAATTTTTTCAATTTACTTGTCGAAGAGTTTTTTCCCAACCGCCGCGTCTACCGCGCTAAGAGGATCGTCTAGCAAATAAATGTCAGCGTCAGCATACACAGCTCTGAAAAACAAATATTTATCAATATTTATAGATTGTTATGTATGTCAATTTGACTAAACAGAGGTTCATAATGATCAACTTTGATCGTGCAAAATTTACCACTGCAACGTTCACCGTGTTTAAATAAAATATAAATACAAAAAAAATCTGATAACTTAAGTATTTTATGAAGGAGATACAAGGGAAATGTCAAGTAACTGGAAATATTTATGTATATGGTAGGACCCAATCTTCTTTGTCAGCAAATGAAAAGGTACTGTCTATAACAATATACGGTGTATAATCGTTTCTCGTCATGCTGACGGACGAACGACACTGTCTATAATGATCATTATGGATGAATGGCACTCGAAACTCTCTCATTTTACTTTTCATTTCATTTTATTCATATCAATCAACAAAGCAGAAGCACATAGGTGCTTCTTAATTGCGTAGACCTTACAATTATTAATCAATAAAACATATAGAAAAACACATAGAGAAAGTGTAGTATGCATATACGAATATACAAATAAAACATTAAACACAAAAACAGGAACTTTGGGACCTTGGATGGGATATTTTACCTTGCCAGGCCGAGGCGCGCCTTCTGACCCCCGCTCAGGGTGACTCCCCTATCCCCGACAAACGTCTTATCCCCGTACGGCATGCCCTGTATATCCTGGAACAACCGGAGAAAAGCAAATAACGTTTTTTTTTTCTTAACAGTGGCCGGGACTATCATGCGAAGATGCTGATTAGCCACACTAGACGCTGCACACGGCCACAACACCAGACTTAGAGTCCTGCCACTATCTTAAAGATGAAAGGATGCCTACCTACCCATATACCTACCTATTTATTAATTTTTCTAGTACAGCATTGAATTTCTTCCTTGCATTGATATGTTTTGTTTTTATTATCAAAGTAAGTATTTGCAAAATAAGATAATGCTGTAAGTCCACATATCTACTAGACAAAGAAACCAATGATACTAACCTTTAATAAAACCATACTGTACAATGCCTTACAGCATATAAATACGTTTTCATGTTCAAAAACGAACGAAAACGAACTAAGAACAATTGGTTTAAAGGTACAAAATAAATTTACATGATTGGAATTCTTTTTAGCGTGTGTGAGCTACATGTCTGGACTATCCGATAAACCTGTGTCTGGACATATAGTTTTGTACAAACCACGGTTCTAGATACATTATTACATACCTTTTCCAGTTCGCTGATGCTGATCGCTCTGTCATACTTGTCTTGGTCGAATGGCTTCCCGAAGTCCACGATGTTGTTCCTGATGGTGTCGGGGTAGGCCCACGGTTCCTGGGCGGTGAAAGCGAGCGTTCCTCGCACGTCCACCCTACCCTCCACCCGCAGAAGCTCCCGCATTATCGTGCACAATAAAGCGGACTGAAACATACCGAATGCCACATTGTATAACTCACACATAGGTACAAACACACACAAACTACAAAAGCTGAAATTTGCACGCGAGCAAATACAGCAAATTTCACTACATCTCACTAATACACAATGAACTGTTCCAAACTCCTCCCTGTGCCAAAAAAGAACATCACACAATTCTGCGCTTTTGCATTAACTCTATAAAGGTATGTCATAAATACTGAGGACTATAATTACTTAAAACTGAAAAACGCAAACAGTTACAGAAACGGAAGCAATGAACACTAAAATCACCTTTCCAGCGCCCGTTGGTCCTATGACAACAATCAGTTCACCTTCTTTGACGTCGAACTTGATATTCGTCAGTGTTGTTTTCTAAAAATAGTGTATTTTTCATTAAAATTGTTTATTCTCAATCTTTGTCAACACGGATATAGATACAAGTAAACAATTTTCTCTACCAAAAGTTCAAAGCAATTGTGTGGAGAGCTACTTGCATCATTTGTGTTGATATAGTTTGCAACTGTTCAACATACTAGTAGCATTATGACAAATTTGGTACCTACTCAAAAGGTAAAATAACAAGCCTTCCAATGTATATTAATCATATTTAGAGGAAATTAAGATTTTTTTACGCAGGAAAACTATGTTATATTCATGTAATATTTGACCTGATAAAAGTACTGTCTGAATATAAAGGATTTGACCTCCTTATTCCGTACATTTAATTGTACAGACTAACCGTCTTCCATGTTGCAGTGTTGAGGTCCACAGTGACTCCCTTCGGGCCCACCACCTCAGTAGAAGAAAGACTCATTTTGCACACGTCTTTGCTAGATGCATCCATGACAGGATTTGGCGGCTGGTACTCGTTTAATGCAAGAAAGGTCTACAAAAAATTGAATTAGGTTTTAAGCTCAAGCAAGTAATCTGTAATTAGCAAAACAAAAACATGTAGGTACATCGCACCCTAAAAAATAGGTAGTCCTGGCGACGATATATTTAACTGGCTTTTAGTTATCCTGTGTGATTTTATTTATATAGAATTTTATTGTCATTTTTTTCGTTGTAGATCAAAATTTGACGTCACCATCCCTGCTTGACGTCACCATCTCTACCAAAAGACGTATATGACACGCAAAAATCACGAACATAGAATGTCCCAGACACAAAATAGGACATAATTAAAATTGACCGTTTTAGTTAAACCCCTACCTACCTACGAAGATTGGGGAAGATATCGATGTCTAATTATTATCTATTGCTAATTATTATCTATTGCTGATTATTAACAAAAACCTACGTTTAATGAAAATTGCAGCACTTTATATTACACATCATAGTGCCCAACCAATAGCAAAGCAGACATCATTGTAAAGGACAATAGACAAGCATTCGAATGATATGTAATGAAATGAAAAAGGTTGATATGAAACAGTCCATTTTGGAATGAGGAAAGATATTAACTAAAATATGATTAATTTTCTCCGAGCAAATTTCCACCTTTCTAGTAGGTATATATTATATATTGTCTTCGTTAAGTTGTACCTGGAGTCGAGTGACTGCAATCTTGACTTCTGCTAGGCTCTCTAGTGCCACCGGAAAGCCATGCATAGGTTTCTCCAGTAGCTCCAAGAACATCTTCGTCACAAACGCCTAGAATAAAAACGAAATGATGAATAAATTTAAATTAATATTGTAATTCAATCCATGACTGATGGTGAACGGCAAGAATGTACTTGTACTTGACAGTGTTGAAGTTTTTTCTCATCTTCTGCATTAAAAAAACTAATGGAAAATTTAAACTAGAAGAATAATAGAGATTACTTCCTGACGTTTCAAGTGGCATAAATATATTTTTACTAATTTTCACAAAATTGCACTAAGAAAATGTCAGTAAAGTCATTTCAGACATATTTTTTTTTGTTTTGCCACCCTGAATTTGCAAAGAATACAAGGTATACGCAACATTTGAGAGATATTTTCATTAGGGACTTGCGTCCCGTAAGTTCCTTAACCCATAATAAGGTATTGACCTAGGTGTTTTTTTAACTATTCGTCTTGTCTGTTTGTGAAAACTTAATAGATGATTTTAACCCTCTCTATGATAGTAAAGACATATTTATTACTTATGCATTTGGCTCCATGAAGGTTAGTAAGTGCTACTTGCATTTTATCACTAAAGTTTCCTGTTGAGCAGACAGATAAGCAAACAAATAAACAAATAAACAAACCTTCTCTGCTGTCAACACGTTTCCCATGAGGACATACGTGATTATGATGATGAAAATGGTAGGATCCATGCCCAACCAATTGAACAGCTTGATGACTCCCTTCGCTATGTCACCTTTCACCATTATCCTTAGTTCCACCCTGTTTTAATTAAAAACAATATAATGCTTTAATAACTTCGACAGAATTCGAAGGTAATGATTTTGGCAGCTTTTGCGCGTATGTATGAGTGTAATGACGTATATATTGCAATATTTAGCACCATAACTCAACATGCTATGAATGGATTGTCGTGGAACTTGGTGGGTGGGTGGGTCTTGATAAGACCTCAAAGTTATCATATTTGGGGCCACATCGCGGCTTGTTATAGTATTGCAGTGGAACTTCAGGTTTTGATATCTCGTTATCTTTTTATTCAGTCAAATTTACATACTTTTCATATGTAAAGTCTCTCCACCCAAATATTGGAAGCTGAAATTGTTGACAGAACAATGAACTATACAGACAAAACGAGTAGCTATAGCTACAGTTACATTTTCTAAAAATCATTTGTCGATACATTATTATAGCAATCGAAAAGGTATGTATTATTCCGTTATCACTTAAAGTTTTGTCTGTTAGGTTACGTAATATTTTCATAAAGCCTAAATAATATGTTGGCCGGTCAAAAGTTCCATTTTATGTTGGTTTAGAAGAAGTTAAGTCATAGAGTGCGACAACTCGGGGATAATTGTCATTAGTGCTCAGTAATTAAAATAATTGATCACTTAGCTTTGCCATTCCGCTCGGGCTATTAACCCTAAATCGATGCATACGGCTTATTAAACAAACCAGCCATGATATCTATCGAATAAATCCTTATATATAGATATGTACTTCTTGCTTAATGGGTTAGATTGTCATATTCTTATCGACACTTAGGAAACACAAAAAACAAATAAATAAACAAACAAACCAGGATTAAAAGATCTTACCTCCTCAGCTTGTTGATGACGTCACTAAAAGGTTGCTCCCACGCTTGTAGCTTGATCATTCTCATCGACTGTAGAATCTGACTCATCACGTCCAAACGCGCGTCTTTCCGAAAGTTTTCTAATGTGCTAAAAAAACATGAAAAAAATTGGATGTAAGAATTTTTTTACAACTAGGATGGCCCACATTTCTCACGTTTTGGTGTGTTTTAGACACATTCCTCAGCCAGAGCTTCTGACTGCAGTTCTGTTTCTCACCGCTACATGTAGGTGGCGCTTTTGTGGCGAGAACACAATGCCAAACATTGCTTTACCCCCTTGTCCCGGTTCATCACTGAGGTTTACAGCCTTATCAAGACCGCTTCTTTGATACATTCACTCCAGTCAGAAGCTCTGAGAAAGGTGCCCTATGATAGACACCGAATAGTAAGCAAGTTTAGTCTTCCTGGATGTGAAGTAAGAAAGTTCCTACATCCTAACATGTTCTGTTAATCTGATTAAACTATTTTCAAAAACATAAAAATAGTACAAAACCTTTGAAGTATACCCATATTCCTCTTTGCAGCTATCCTTTCTTCCTTGGACCCATTTTTTTTTACAACGGTCAACAGTCACATTTATCGCAGGTTGCCGTACTATCCTGGTGTCATTTTTAACAGGCTGTGTGACAAAACTAACTGCCCCCCTTCCAGGGATTGCAGACAACAACAAATCGACTGAATGTTTAGAGTTCAAACTTTTGAAACAAAGAATGGTTCTCATAAAAACATAATATACAATGGCCTTGTTCTCACCTAGAGCGTTTAACAAGTTAGTCTTCCTCAGTAGACCAATCTAAGTGGAAGAGGGAGACCAGGGTGACTATTCAAAAGCTCTAGGTGAGAGCATGACAACAAGGACATTATATATAATGCCCTTGGTAATGACCACTATTTGTGATAATTTAGAGTCTTTAACTCTAAACATGTAACTACGAACAGGGATGAACTTTAAAGATGGTAGAATGCAACTGAATGTTGTATGCCTTAAGCACGGTTGTTCTAAAATGCCCTCAGTTCGCCATCTTGCATTTCGAAATACATGCCACACACCACACGCACACACACACACACACACACACACACACACACATCCCGATGCATACATGTATCAGGCACTCCCTTAGACTAACAGTTTTACCATTCAATTTGATTAAATGCTTTCACGTACCC